TTTATTAAGCCGAGTTACACCCAACGAGGACTCAACTTATTTAATTAAAAGTTAAAATTGTTAAAGAAAATGCATATTTCTTTCTTTAAAATCAAGTCAACAACACTCCCCAATTCCAAAATCTTTTTAGATATCTTTGATATTATATCGAAATATTTCATTTGAATATTTAATTTATACGAGAATTGTCACATTTATTTTATTTAAGTCACCTGTTTATATAACTTCTAGGCGAATGATTCAGTATCACACTAACATGCTCGTAATCTTGAGCATTTAGACCGTTCGTTTTGAAATATAATTACATATACAGGTGATTTTTTCGGAAAATGCCACAGTGCTCACTTAGAAATGATAACAATTCGAGTATTGTTCAATGATTCAACAAAATTAATGGATTTTGAGCGAGACAAACTCAAGCAGGACAAATGCTTGGACTCTGTAAAGGTTATCTTCAAAAGTCTGTCCACAAGGAGTCAAGAAAGAGCTATGATGCAAATTATAAATTAACATCTTTATGATAATACTTCCACATTCTGAAGTACCTTAAAACGTAAATTTATTGAGCTGGAAATCGCAATAATAACAGAAGATTTGGCATGCCAACGCATCTCCCAGTACAAGCGGAAATAGGTAGATATCTTGAATGCAGGACTCAATGCATGAAATCACTGACAAATATTTGGCTCAAATGTCAGATTTTTGGACAGTATATGGCGGCACGTGCCGATCACGCTCCGGGAAAGGGAGAGAGAGTTGAAGGTGGTATCGGGAGACTAAAATGCTCAAAGGGGAAGGGTCAGAAAGCAATAATGAAAAGGATAGTATTGTTCTGACGTTTTTAATGTCTAAAAGCAACCAAACTTTGATACGCTATCCACATTTCCTTTTTAACTTTCTCTTGATCTTGATTTCTTCCTCTTCTTCTGCTTCACTTTTTCTACACTTTCTTCGAGTTGTGTATACTTACACAAAGATTCAACACACGCACAAACACATTGTGGGTTAGAGTTAAAATGTGAGCTCTTCCACAGGCTATTTCCCTCACAAACTCTGATATGTATTGCCACTCACCCTTTTACGTGAGGTGCTCAAGATTCTTGTTTCTTTAGTCTTTCTTATGTATTTGTGAAAGGGGCTTTTTTCACCTCTCTTTTTTCTTTGTGTATGTAGAAGTGATGAAGGTGGTAGAAACGGTACCCGTTTTACGGATCTTGGAGAGCTTGAACAGGCAGCTGGAACCGGATTTCCTCATGAGGGTGTTGATTTAAGCAGAAGTACGCTCGCTCTCTCTCTCTCTCTCTCTCTATACACACACAAACGCACGCACACACTATAAATAAATGTCTTTTTTTAATCTTTTTAATGTTAGGTTCAATGTACAATGAGATGAAGGCAAGCAATGTTTCTGTTGTGACTAATAACTTGCAGTTTGGTGGAATCAACCATGTAAATTTCTTACTTACTTTATCTTTGGATATATACATAAAAATCGAAGTGTGTGTAATTGATTGGGGATGGCTGGTGTTTTCCAGAACATCGGTTCAGCAGACATGGGGTCATCAGTAGCTGGGGTGCATACAGGACACCTCATCTTACAGAAGGGGACAATGGTGGGGATTGTTGGTGGTGGGAGCGGCGGCGATGGTGGTTGTGGTGGTGGGGCTTTGGGAAACGTGCATTTTGATAACTGGGTTGATTCTGGGGTGGTGGCAGATCACAGCCAGCAGACTGACACTTCCACAGATACTGATGAAAAAAACCAGGTATTGTATTTTCCTCGTTTTCCTCTGGTTCTTTGCACTAGTAGTTGTCTCTTACATGAAGTCTGTTCCTTTGGATTCCCATGTTTTCAATGTAATAATTTTTGAAATTTGTGGGGTTCTAATAAATAAGAATGTAACTATACCTTAAAATCAGGAGTTAATTTTGTGGTTTTGATTTTCTTCTATTAGATAATTTTTTGCTGTAACTTGAAATAGATTGTAAGATCGGGGAGTCTTTTATGTTTATTAAGTTGTCCAAAACTTGATACGAGCAACAAAATGACAATGAATGGGGAAAACTAATATATATGCTAATAAGTGATTTTTGAAAAGAATGAAGTAAATTTAGGCATGCATGAACTATGAACTCTTGAACATTTGGGGTGAAAAACGGAGATACATGAACATTAAGAGCAGAAGTTCTGTAGTGAAGCAAAGGAGATAAATCAACATTATGAATGGATTTCGGATATGCCAAAATTAATGGCATGAGGGTCTATTTATGCTCATGTTGACGTCTCTACTGAAAGCCACGATTTTTTGACATGGTCTAATCTGAATCGCCAGATACCGTTACTTTAGAATGGCCGCGATTGCACCCTTTAACTGTGGTCCACAACCATTTTGTGTGCTCCTGCCCATTGAATCAGTCAAGTCCAGTCAGTGCATTGATTTGTGTTGAATATTTCTTTGCCTTCTACATCTATGCAATGGCAGTTAGAAACAAGTGCATTTCTTCATTGTTTCATCTCTATGTTACTTTGTAAAATGCAGTTTTGGATGTATGCCATGTGCAAACATATTTTACAGAATTTTCATTCATTGTCCGACTAAATGGATTAGTTATTAATGTGTCACATCATATCCTGATTTTGCCTAAGTTCCAATTGGTTGAAGTTCCTAAATTTGATTTGCTTGCTGATTTTTAGTTCCAAAGAGGACAATGTGGAAAGTTGATGGTTGTGGATTCAATAGACCAGTTCAAGGGAAACACTGGAGACCAAAAGGTTGTAGCTTTACTCTACTGTTATGTTATTACATGATTTGACCAGGCACATGGAAGGGATTTTCATTAATTTGTGTTATCTTCATTGCAGGCACTACGTAGACTGGCTCAGAATCGAGAAGCTGCAAGAAAGAGCCGGTTGAGAAAAAAAGTAAAATTGCATCTTTAGAAATTTGATTTAAATCTTTATTGCCAACTTGTCACGACCTCAAGAATAATTGGGTAACAGCTTAACTTGTGTGTTTTCTGCACTGATTAATATGTTTTGCCCCAATGTTACTAGTTTAGACTCTAATCGATATGTCATTAAAATGTACTTGTGACGTTTTGGATGCCTTCATCTAATGGTGGTCTCTGCACAAATGATCTTATTTTTTAAAGATTGGGCAACTGCGAGCAAGTCTGGCTAAGTCTAAAAAGCGTGCAGTTACTTTTAAGTAACTACTCTTACTGTATTTGTTTGAGCTCTTCTATAAGTTACTTTTTTGGAGATTTTAAGTTGCGAGTTTTTCCTTTATTAGCAAGTGTTTACTGTGCATGAGCATGTTTGGCAAATAAAGATGCTAGCTTATATGCTGGGTACTCGCAAAGTGTGTGGTACAAAATTCACACAGCTGTGGGTCCTGCTGTTCATAAGTTAGATAAGTTGGAAATCCTCAACTATCTGGCATAAAGCTTGTTGTGTGGATTTCGGACTACATAATTTGTGGATCCCTAACTTAAATGCTAGCACCTTCTTTTGCCAAGCATGCTCTATGTTTGATAAAGTATTTGTAGATTATAGTTGTGGGCCTTACGTATTGTGTGTACAAGAAGTAAACAAAAGTTGTTGGATCCTATGAAATGTGTTCATAAAAATGATATTTGGCCCATTAATAAAAGCTGTGGGGCCTGCAGTTTATAAGCTAGATAAGTTGAAATCCCCAACTTATTTGGCTTATAAGCTTTTTGTGTGGATTTTGGACCACTCAATTAATGGGTCCCTAACTTATAAGTTAGCATTTTTTTGCTTTGCTCTATGGTTGGTGAAGCCTTTTGTAGATTATAGTTGTGAGCCTTGTGAAATGTGTGTATAAGGAGATAAAAGTTGTTGGGTCTTATGAAATGCATTCATGAGAATGATATTTGACCAGCTTATAATTAGGAAAAAAAAATTTACTTAACATTTTTTTAGGCTTAGCCAAACGTGCTCTATTCATTAGAAAAGAGCTCCCACAGTGAAGTTAGAATAATTCAGGACATGTGGGTTGAGAAGATCTTACATCCTTGTCCATTATGCATCTGGTTTGTTATCTGATGTAAAATTGTGATTTGGGTTCTTGCATCTCATCATCTATGCAAGTATGCCTGCACAATTGATCTGTTTATGCCTGTACAATTGATCTGTTCTTTGCTTTAATAATTCTTCCATCATGTTCGACCAAATCTTTATTGGGAATTTGTTTTATTTGTACCAGAACTAGAATATGCTGTCAGGTGCTACATTATCCCCTCTCATTTCTAATCTGCTTCATGGTATACTTTTTTTATTCCTTGAATGTTTGGATTAATTATTGGTTTTGGTTAGGCATACGTTCAACAGCTCGAGAGCAGTCGGGTAAGGCTTTCACAACTAGAGCAGGAGTTGAAAAGAGCACGTCATCAGGTGCTGTCTCTATAAATTGTACTTCAAAATTTTGAATGGTTTTCGAGCCATTACTTTACTCTTTTATTGGAATGCAGGGAATTTGCATTGCATCAGGATTGTCAGGAGATCAGTCTGTGAGTGGAAATGGTTAGTGAACTATCTTATCTATAAATGGCAAACATTTAACTGGGACAAAACGAGAATTGTTTCTGATTACCTCAGATTTTTGTGATGGTATTGCTTAGCATTTGACATAGATTATGCACGCTGGCTTGATGAACATCAAGGACTGATCAATGATCTGAGATCCGCTGTGAATGCTCACATGGGTGACAGTGAGCTACGCCTTCTTGTCGATGGGGTGATGTCACATTATAATGAAATATTCAGGCTAAAAAGCACGGGTGCAAAGTCAAATATATTTCACATGTTATCTGGCATGTGGAAGACTCCTGCAGAAAGATGTTTTATGTGGTTGGGAGGATTTCGTTCATCGGAGCTTCTCAAGGTCATTCAATCATTTTAGACATCTCTCTTTTGTACAATACAAGAACATAATTATTTCGTTCAATCATTTTCCTGAACAGTCATTCCATTTTGCATTTCAGATACTTGGCAACCAAGTTGAACCTCTGACCGAACAACAATTGATGGGACTATGTAATTTGCAGCAGTCCTCCCAACAAGCTGAGGATGCGTTGTCCCAAGGAATGGAAGCATTGCAACAATCACTCGTAGAGACACTGTCCTCTGGTCCTAGTGGTTCTGGTAATGTGGCTGACTACATGGGGCAAATGGCTATTGCCATGGGCAAGCTCGCCACGCTCGAGAATTTCCTTCATCAGGTATTGCCATGAACTTAAAGAATTTGTTAGACCGCGTGATGTCTTCTAATCATACCGGACACTTGTTCCCTAGACAGCGGATCAAATATTGGGTATTCCATGGATATATTGAGCCCAATGTTCTAAATTACATAAAGGCTTTCAAGAGCCAGTTTTTGTGGTGGCCTCAAAGAGACTTGGGATTCCGTTTTACTTTTCTTCTTCGTTATAAAGGGTTGAAAGCTGGAAACCTGCTGTAGTAAAAGTGATCCTAGCTCTCAAATTGCGGGTGCACCATTATAAATTTGTGTGTTTAGCTCTCATAAGTCGGGATTCAATAACATAGTAAATATAAGTAAAAACTCATCCCCATTCTGTCGCCCTTTCCAAAATATGTTCGCTTATTCAGTAAATTCCTTTCCAAATTGTGTACCTGTTTTTGTTTCAAATGAATATTAACCTGTGCTTTTGCTCCTGATAGGCTGACCTTCTGAGACAGCAAACTTTGCAGCAAATGCATCGAATCTTGACAACCCGACAAGCTGCTCGGGCTCTTCTTGCCATCAATGATTACAAGTCGAGGCTTCGGGCTCTCAGTTCTTTATGGCTGGCACGCCCTAGAGATTGACTTAGGTGATTACGTTGTCTTTCAGAACAATGCAAGCTGACCATTCCTACATAACCTTTAATTGCTTTCTAACAGTCATTTGCTGGTGGGTTAGTGAGTATGCTATTTGCTTAGGTCAATATATTAGTGGACACTGGATTTGTGAAACTTACTGCTGTATCAAAGATGTGTATCTGTTTACTATTGATTGACTTCGTATGGATTACTAACAGTAGTTGCTTTGTATCAACCATCAAAGAATATGTTTCAGTCATTAAAAATGTTTGTACTTTAAATCTTTTCCCTTGTTATCACTTGAAACTCTTGGTGAGATGAATTGAAAACATGCATTATTGATGTGCATTTGCGTGTTAACAATGAAAATTAGAAAATTCATCAGTAAATGGGAAAATTTGTAATGTTTTTTTCACTTTTTCAAAATGAACTTCTAATTGGAAAAAACAGCTTTTAAATAAAACAAAAAAGTTGTATACAGCGGGCTCAAATTACCTTATTTAAAAATTTTGTAATCAACTGTTTCAAGTTTTGTGCGCTAGTTTCTATTTGATTGAGATTGCTCTTGTTCTTTCTTAAAAAATTTCTCTGGACTTTTAGCACTTGTATATTCTTTGTAATCGGTGTCATCCTCTACTTGTAACAATGTACACTTCATGGTGGATTGAGAGCTTCTTGATGCTGGATGTAGGTTCATATCTGTGGAAACACTCTCACTTTGCTTTCATTCTTTTCTTTTTGGTTTGTTTTAATTCTTCTTGGCTGGTGGGTGACGAATGATCAACACGTTTTAATGTTCTGTCATAAAACTTACAACGGCATTCACACGTACTGCAGGTTTCGGGAATGTGAATACTTCCAAGGTTTCACCTAACTTTTGACAGAAATTTGAGAAATTTTTTTGTAGTTTTGGAGTGACGAAATTCATTATTCGGTGTTACTAAAATTTTAGTACTTTTGGAGTCTTTGACATTTTTTTTTTAAAACTTTTTCGGTAATCAACATATTGAAATGAGACATAAGGTATAGGAAAATGAAGCCACAACTTCTTCGGATGAAGTGAAAAGCTAATAATCAATTCGAACTTAGGCACAGAGTTAGTCGATGTTTATTTCTAAGATATCGTCATTGCTTCTTCGAGAAGGGAAGTTCATGACTTATTTCTATTTGAGAGGATCTTAAGGAAAAGGAATTTTTTTTCCACTGAGGTAAAACTATGTCCATGTCTCTACACTTGCACGTCACCATGCTTGATGAAAATGAACATTGGACGAGGCAAAAACTTTGAAATAACGATAACTCGTATAGTTTGATATGCTAGAAAACCATCACGAAATTAAAAGATGATAATCGAAAACCAGGTGGTCCACTGATCCGTTATTTCACCTGTCGAGACTCGAGAGTGGACAAAATATAGTACACCCGTCTGCACCAGGGGGAAAAAAAAAAAAAAACTAGAATTTATACACAGTTGGCACTTGGCAAGGAACCGCTTCCAACCGTTGTCGAACCGTCAACCGCACCATTTTATGAACCGTTTCTTTTAAAAATAAATTCCAACTTCCTTCTTTCATTCGTAACTTATTCAAGATGAAAATGTCTGCGGCACCATCAGCGCCACCGGTGCCAGAGGCAATGTCTTCTCATTTTGATCAACAGCAAACTCCAGTTACTGGAGTCCCAGTCTCGATAAATGTTGCCGATAAGCGCATTTCGAAAAAGACTCCGGGGCGATGGTCCACCGGTCTGTGTCATTGCTGTCATGATCTTAGCAGTTGTAAGTTGTTTACTTTGTACATGTACTGTAATCAAGGATTCTTGTTTCACGATTATGTTGGAGTAAAGAGTATAAAAATAGTGCTTAGTACATTTTTGTGGCTTTCCGTGGTTTTTTTTTTTTTTTTTTTTTTTTGTGACTAAACTAGGTTGCTTAACATGCTGGTGTCCATGTGTAACATTTGGTCGGATTGCAGAAATTGTGGACAGAGGATCGACATGTAAGCTTCATTCAACAAAATAAATAATTGGCTGTACCTATACACATTTCTTGCTGATAATTGCATTTTTATTTGACTTGCAGCTTGCGGAGTAAGCGGAGTCTTATACTCGATCATGTTGTGCCTAACAGGTTGCTCGTGTCTGTATTCGTGCTTCTATCGGTCGAAATTGAGGGGACAGTATTTTCTGGACGAGAGCCCGTGTACTGATTGCTGTGTTCATTGCTGTTGTGAGACGTGTGCATTGTGCCAAGAGTATAGGGAGCTCAAGAACCAGGGTTTTGACATGTCTATAGGTACCGTACCTCTTTCTGTTTTCTACACACCAAAATTGCCGAATGAATTCAAAAGCAAGAAGATCACAAAGATATTGGCATGTTATATCCTTCTTTATTACTGGGAAAGATTAATTATTGAGCTTATAGTACGTTTAACGGTCGTAATATATTTGGTATGTTAAATTGAATATGATTGGACCGTACAATTTTAATTGTGTTTAATTCTATCCAATCTAGAGTACTGATAGGTACGCTCTAAAAGCTTGTGTAATAATTAATACATGTCCATGACTAAAACATTGTATTCCAACAAAAAAATCATTAAGAAACAAAGTTGTATCAAATTTATGTTACATCAAAATGTCCAACTTTCTTGAACATTGCCTTTTTTCTTATTCTAAAATGTAGGGTGGCATGGGAATATGGAGAGACAGAAACGAAAGACAGCTGCATTACCTCCATCAGTGCAACAAAGTATGCAGCTTTAGGATAGGGGACGGGACGATGTGGTACTTGTCCGCATATATACATGTTTGTGTGTATTTCCTCTTTGACACAGCAATAGGATTTGATTCGAAAAAATCAAAATTGTAAGCCTGATATGAGTGAAATGACGTAAGAGCATATGCCAGTCGATTCATAGACAAGTTGGACAATCCCTTCAAATTTCCAGATTTCAGATATTTCATACTTTATATATTCCCTAAAATAAAGACTTAAAGGTAGTTGTTTGGAAAAATTTTATAATCTGATTATTATAAGAGAAGTGATCTTGTGAGTGTACACTTAAAATTAATATTTGATTTTAACTTTAAATTATAAAGAAATTATAATTAAAACCTCAAACAATGCATAAATCACGTTTTTTGAATTAAATTAATGTTGATATGATTACTTGCTACATACTAACATGCAATGAAGAAAGAGGTGCATAAAGTTTAGCCAATTGTTATGTTGAGTTTTGTTAGGATCTTCCTTAAGCTGCTCAAAGTAATTTCCGGGCTCAGTTAACCATTAAACATCGAATTCAACACCAAAACCAAAGGTGACCGAATCCGCCGGCTTCAACTCCCTATGGTTGCTTTCCTCTTTTGCTTGTTGATTCAATCCACACACTTAGGATGGATACCACACAGGTAAGAGTCACAAAGGCTCAAGCAATTGGCATGGAAGACAAATCACGAAGAAGAAGGCACAAGAAGAAAACCGGCAGTCTCTCTCTTGCTCTCGGGTTCTATATGGACGGGGGTGAGGAGTCAAAGAAAACCACCAATATATATATATGTTAAGTGGCCAACATAAGGTAAGTCAAGATATGGTAAGTAGGCTCGACTAGGGTTAATTTCCAAGGGAAAGAAACAACAAGCCACAAAGAGTATTAGCCGTCCAATAGGTAAAGCAACGTTTGGTCGGTTCATCCATTATTCGATGTTGAATTATCGTTCAATCATTCATATCGACTGATAAAATTGATTTTCATCATCGCCCTGGAGGTCGTTTGGCAACATCATGTCTAACAAGTTTAATGCATGAAATATCATATTTTTGTTTGCTTTCTAGGTAGCGAGAAAATAGATTTGAAAATATCAAATTTTCGATTTTGTGACATTTTCATCAGACATTTTGAATTAAATGTAGAGTATTTATACAAATATCATCGACTGTGATCTCTTCATTAAAGTCTCAATCACTTTTTGAACTGTAGATAACATCTCATGTTGCATCCAAGTAAAATTCAGTTCTATTGTATTTCTATTCAAGATGCAAGGACTTTTTATTTCCTTCTGTACTGATGAAAAATTCGAAGATATTCGGTGACACTATGAAAGAATAATATGATGATCCTTTTTTGATGAAAATATATGTGCATGAGACAAATTCAAGGACACAAGTCAACGACCTAATTTTATGTTGATATATCTATCCTTCTGTACCGATGAAAATTTCGAATATATTCGGTGATACTCTGAAAGAATAATATGATGAACTTTTCCTTATCGGAAGCCTTTTTTGATGAAAATATATGTGCATGAGACAAATTCAAGGACACAAGTATATATTCGGTGACACTATGAAAGAATAATATGATGAACTTTTCCTTATTGGAAGCCTTTTTGATGAAAATATATGTGCATGAGACAAATTCAAGGACACAAGTCGACGACCTAATTTTATGTTGATATATCTATCCTTCTGTAACGATGAAAAATTCGAATATGTTCGGTGACACTATGAAAGAATAATATGATGAACTTTTCCTTATCGGAAGCCTTTTTTGATGAAAATATATGTGCATGAGACAAATTCAAGGACACAAGTCGACGACCTACTTTTATGTTGATATATCTAAATATCCATAGGAATATCTGGTCAAAAGTTCCGACTTAAACATAAGGAGAATTTGATAAAAATTACATAAAATTGGGTAAAAAAATGTAACATAATTGAATGAGCCCTTTGCAAGGTAGAATGATGCCACATTTAGTGGACTTCTAGAAGATCATTCCATGTTTGAGAGTCAAAAACCAGAACTTTCTATGAAAATTCGAATACCCAAAAGGACAGCTGGTTGGAGAGATTCCAGGCTTTTGATGCATCTGCTAAGGCATGACCTGAATTCCATTCCACTGGTCTTGAGTTTCTTATCTTACTTTTTGAAACAATTTTTGGTCAAAAAGAATAAAGAATAAAGACGTTTGCCCATTTGCATGTACTTGAAAGATTTTATTCTTTAAACAATATCTATAGTATTCTTTATCCTGTTTGATTCTCGTCTGTCATTTTATACCTTCAAAATATAATTTGCACGCATTGATAATATGCTATTGGAGATGAGGGTGTTTTTTTAATAGTTAGAACCACCTAACTACAAGGTTAGGGGTTGTGTTTTGTTTTTTCACTTTCATAGCTTCTGCTTTAAGCACAAAGAGACTGATTATTATTCCAACTATTTATAATAGTAGTTTGATTTAATTGAAACTGAAAGTTACAATAGATCGAATCAAGAATCGAACAGAACTGTTCACTTTTCGATTCAAAGCTCGGAACCAATTAATTTAGCTAGAATAGAATCGAAGTAAACCAACTAGTTCATGCCAATTTTGGTCTGGTTCTAGTCTTCTAGAGGATTTGGGAAAAAAAAATGTTTATTCCTAGTAGAGAGTTTATATTTTGTTGTACTCCTCACCTTTAAGGAGATCGTTTCATTGAGACAATTTTTCTTCGTATAATTACTCAAAATTCGAACAATTGTATTTTAAAATAAATGAAGTTTCAATCACATGCTAGCACCACCTCAATCTCGTGTACACACAATTAACATGGTTCACCATTTTAATAATCATACTAAATCTTTGATCCATATAAACTATAAATGATTGTGGGCTATGAAAATTTTGTTGATTGATAAACATGCATGTTCGATGGATGTCCTAAAACCAAGGAAAATGTCACTCAACAAAAAGTTTGGACTCATTTTTCCAAAAGCTAAATAGATACTTCCCTTTTGTTAAGTCCACATATAAGCTCTTGTAGTGGATGAAAAATCTAGAAACACATTTTCTTTAGAGGGGAACATTGATTTGAAAGTGTTACACCAAAAGATGATATGGGGAGCAGCCTAACATTAGCTTTAGTTGGCAGTGTTCCAGTTACATACACTTGTGCCAGCCATAACGTGTGTCTACCTCATTACATTTATTTTAATTTTCTTTGACGTACAATTTGTTTGGCATGACTTTTACCTTTATTTTTGTTTTTCACTTCTTGTAGAAAATCTTTCGAATGAAATTACTTTAGACTAATTTCATTTCAAACTCTTCTAATCAAACGAAGAACTTCCAGAAAAATTTCAAACATGTTCAAAAACAAAGTAATCTTAAAAATAAATTTTAACTTTTCAAAAATCAGGCCAAACACTCCTTTCTTTGCCCTTGCATTTTTTAGATGAAACAGGCTTTCCTGCTTGTAAATATCACTTGAATTAATAATTGCACATTCCACTTCCACCTATGATCTTCAAGCCCTGATATCACCATCCACTTCTCTATTTGTGCCCACAATGATATTATATTATATATTTTTTGCCTCTTATATTTTACTTTAATAATTTTGATTTAAAAAAAAATGCTTGAATGGAACTTAAAACATAATTGATTAAGATTAATTATTTTTAAGGTCCTAAGGGAAAGGGATGTGCATATTGGAATTTTATTTTGGTTTCAAGTATTATTATCTATTGGTTGTTTATTGTTGATATGTTGGGTTAGATATTGACAACCCACTCAAGCTGATTAATTTAAAGTTGCATTAATGTCAAATAAAGCAGCTCAGTGCTACTTAAGAACTTGATTTCCATTGGTCCAATAATGTGGTTTAAACCCTAAATAACATTTACAAGAGTACTATCCAGTTAAGAACATTAACTTTATTATTCTTTATGGTTAAAAGTACTAATGGCTATTGTAACTTTTAACCAAATTATATGTTGATAATTAAACTTTATTTTATTTCAAGTTGGTCATTGAGTTTTAAATTGGTTGCTGAATTTAAACAAAATTTATTACAATTTGGTCATTTCATTTATATCAGACAATTAGAGTAAGGAAAAAGCTGTTGTGCAGTCCCGTTGACAAATAACTAGACTTCAACACCACCTTTGATGTTGTCAATTTAACGAATATAGAGGTAGTGAATCATTCTACAATTTCGTTGAAATTTAAAATCTTCTATGAGTCAACTAGTCCTATAAATCACTAGTAGTAGGTTCCATGTGAAGACGTCAATTTTTCCAATTGCCCACTTGGAAATGGAAAGTGGTATCTTTTTACTTCCTATATAAGTCAATGCAATGGAGCCATCATTTTGTAACAAAAATATAAAGCCACAAGCTATTTCATTCTCCTACCTTGAGAAAAATAGGAAGAATGACCGCCATGACACTAGATCCAAGTTTGAGCCTTCAAATGACTGCCAAAGAATCCCAACGTAGAGTTGTGATTGAAGATATTGACGGGCTTATTAAAATTTACAAAGATGGTCAAGTGGAACGACCGGATATCGTGCCACGTGTCACATGCTCGTTGCCTCCTGAGTTTAGGTTGATGTCTAGAGATTTGATCATTGACAAGTATACAAATATTTGGGCACGTTTATATGTTCCAAATCGTCACGAGAAGCTCCCTTTGATAGTATACTTTCATGGCGGTGGATTTTGTGTTGGTTCCGCCTCGTGGAGTTGCTACCACGAGTTCCTAGCAAAATTAAGCGCGAAAGCCAATTGTGCCATCATGTCAGTTAACTACCGTTTGGCCCCAGAAAACCCTCTTCCGGCTGCCTACGACGATGGAGTCAAGTCTCTTGTTTGGCTAAGGCAGCAAGCCTTAAGTAGGGATAACGAGTTCTTGACGAGTAAATGCAACTTTTCTAGCATTTTCTTAGCTGGAGACAGTGCTGGTGCCAATATAGCCTATAATGTGGCCATAAGACTATCCGGATTGTCCAATTTGAGGCCATTAGATCTTAAGGGACTAATCCTACTACAACCCTTTTTCGGTGGTGAGTCGAGGACTCAATCAGAGAAGTATATGGTGCAACCACCACGCTCCGCCCTCACACTGGCGGCTTCAGACACTTACTGGCGGTTGTCGTTGCCAGCTGGGGCCAATCGTGATCATCCGTGGTGCAATCCTTTGGCGAAAGGGGCTGGAAAATTGGAGGACTTCCCTCATGATGTGCCTACTATGATATGTTTATCAGAAATGGACATATTGAAAGATAGGAACTTGGAATTTTGTGCAGCCATGGCTAGAGCAGGAAAGAAAGTGGAGCATGTGGTGCATAAAGATGTTGGCCATGCATTTCAGATTCTCAACAAGTCTTCTATCTCACAAACTCGTATAAATGAACTGATTTGTGTAATCAAGTCTTTTATCAGTAGATGAACAATTGAAAAATTATTGTGTTTTTTGGTACAAAATATTGTATGCTATGTAATTTCCCTGTATCTAATTAGCTAAAGAAATTAATGAAGGAAATTTATAAAATAAAAAGATTTACAGGTTTTCTCTAATGTTTTTTAATCGCCAAATATCACCACGGTAAAATTTAGCCAGTATTTGATTTAGCTAAAAATCAGTATTTTAGTAGATTTTGATTAAAATTAATGAAATATGTGAATGAAAAATCGATAGAAGTTGTAAGCTTCGTAAAATATGTAGTTGAAAATAAATTTTAGAAAACGAAGGCCGGAATTGGTTTTTCAAGATGGCTAAAAGCATGTATTCATTAGAATACATAATCATCTAAGAAAAATTGTGTTTATCCATGGAGCAATTAAAGATGGAGAACAATTGAAGAGA